CTCGTTTCCCTGTACTCAAGGCGCCAATTTCCTTACATCCCCCCTTACTCTCAGCAAATAACCTCTCCTTTATAGAAAACGAAGTTAAAGTGTTCACGTAGAATTTTCCTCAAAGTATTGTTTTGGAATCTATAAACTTATTTATATATGACGTTTTTAAAAATAAACTTATTTATATCTGAAATTATTTTTTTCGGCCAGGTGTGGTGACTCATGCTGGTAATCCCAGCTCTCTGGGAGGCAGAAGTGGTGGATTGCTTGAGCTCAGGAGTTTGAGACCAGCCTAGGCAATATGGTAAGACCCCGAATCTGTTAAAAATACAAAACAAAAACGACAACAAAAAAACCCATAAATAAGTTATTTTTTCTTTCCTCTGTCTATTAAAATGGGAAGGGTACCTCTTCTACCCACCTGTGTTCTGGATCTCATCCCAGATTGTTTAGATGGTGGTAATTATAAGAAGCAAGATCCAACTTCCAGGAATCTAACTAGTGAGGACAGTTATTATCTCACAAAACAAGATGTATGGAGACTGAGTAGTCCTTTTTCTTTATTTGAGACAGGGTCTTGCTCTGTTGCTCATGCTGGAGTGCCATAGTGTGAACATGGCTCATTGCAACTTCAATCTCCTGGGCTCAAGCAATCCTCCCACCTCAGCCTCTGGAGTAGCTAGGACTACAGGCACACACCACCATACCCGGCTAATCTTTTAATTTTTTGTAGAGACAGTATCAATATGCTGCTCAGGTCGGTCTCAAACTCCTGGCCTCAAGCGATCCTTCCATCTCAGCCTCCCAACGTGTTGGGATTATGGGCATGAGCCACTTTGCCCAATCTGTGCTTTCTTTCTTTTCTTTTCTTTTTTTTTTGAGACGGAGTTTCGCTGTTGTTACCCAGACTGGAGTGCAATGGCACGATCTCGGCTCACCGCAACCTCTGCCTTCTGGGTTCAAGCAATTCTCCTGCCTCACCCTCCCGAGTAGCTGGGATTACAGGCATGCGCCACCATGCCCAGCTAATTTTTGTATTTTTAGTAGAGACAGGGTTTCACCTCATTGACCAGGGTGGTCTCGATCTCTTGACCTCGTGATCCACCTGCCTTGGCCTCCCAAAGTGCTGGGATTATAGGCGTGAGCCACTGAGCCCGGCCCTGTGCTTTCTTCTATGTGTCTTTTATTAGGAAAAGTTTTCCTAGAAACAGCCCCTCCCACCCCACTTCAAGGGGAGGTTGAAAAGCCAGTATCTGGCAGGTTGCTTTTTTTTTGAGACAGAGTTTCACTGTTGTTACACAGGCTGGAGTGCAATGGCATGATCTTGACTCAACGCAACCTCTGCCTCCTGGGTTCAAGCAATTCTCCTGCCTCAGCCTCCCGAGTTACTGGGACTACAGACGTGCACCACCATGCCCAGCTAATTTTTGTATTTTTAGTAGAGACGGGGTTTCACCTTGTTGACCAGGATGGTCTCGATCTCTTGACCTCGTGATCCACCCGCCTCGGCCTCCCAAAGTGCTGGGATTATAGGCGTGAGCCACCGCGCCCGGCCCAGGTTGCTTTTTTTGTTTGTTTTTTGTTTTTTTTTTTTTTTGAGAGTCACCCAGGCTCAAGTGGCGCGATCTCAGCTCACTAGAACCTTCACCTCCTGGGTTCAAGCGATTCTCATGCCTCCGCCTCCAAAGTAGCTGGGATTACAGGCGTGCGCCACCGTGCCTGGCTAATTTTTGTATTTTTAGTAGAGATGTGGTTTCACCATGTTGGTCAGGCTGGTCTCGAACTCCTGACCTCAAGTGATCCACCCACCTCAGCCTCCTAAAGTGTTGGGATTAGAGGCATGAGCTACTGCACCCCATCCAGGATCTGGTAATTTTGCCTCTCAGTAGAAAGTGAACTATGTCAGGAAGGGATAATAGAAGGCATGGTAGAAGAATGACGGCTGGATTGGCCATCAGCAGAATGTGCTGTATACCCCATTTTCCCTCCCATCTCCATAGGGGCCCTCCGTTTTCTCATTTGTTCAATCTAAGACCAGTTCCTTTCCAACAGCATTTAATTTTGTGCAAATCTCACCTTACTTTAAAAAGGCTGTCTTTCCTAGTCCCAATTCCTGTCCAGCGAATGTTACTTTCTTCCTCCTCACCCTCACACTCACAGATTCTTTATGGCCCTTCACTTTTCAACCCTCTGCCACCTGGCTTCCGCATATAAGAACCCATGAGAGTTGCTTAAAATGACCTCTGTGTTAATCAAAACAATGGACGCTTTTTAGTCTCTCATCTTAATTGACCCAACAGCAGCATTCTACACCGTTTCTCACTCCTTACTCAAAACTCTCTCGACCCTTGACTTCTTTGATATTATACACTCTCCCATCTTCTTCCACCGCCCCACACCCCCACATTCTGCCTTTCCTGCTGAATCTCTTTTACTAGTTTATACTTATTTTATTTTGAGATGGAGTCTCACTCTGTTGTTCAGGCTGGAGTGCAATGGCATGATCTCAGCTCACTGCAACCTCCCCATCCCTGAATTCAAGCAATTCTCCTGCCTCAGCCTCCCATAGCTGGGATTACCCAAAATCTCTCTCTCGCTTCTTTTTTTTTTTTTTTTGAGACAAGGTCTTGCTCTGTCGCCCAAGCTGGAGTGCAGTAGTGTAGTCATAGCTCATTGCAGCCTCAAACTCCTGGGTTCAAGTGATACTCCTGCCTTGGCCTCCCAAAGTGCTTGGATTACAGGCATGAGCTACTATACTTGGCCACAAAATCCCTTCTTCCTCAACCTCCACATGTAATCAACAAAATATATTGGATCTGTCTCCAAAATATCAAAAATATCTACTTCTCCATCTCCCTTATGTTAATATATGAATAAGTGACTCTTACCTGTTCTCTTCACATTCAGCCATTCTACTTCAAATCCAATCTATTCAATTACTATGCTACAACTTAAAAGCAGAAGTCTTGGCCAGGTGGGTGGCTCACACCTATAATCCTGGCACTTTGTGAGGCTGAGGTGGGCGAATCACAAGGTCAGGAGATTGAGACCAGTCTGGCCAACATGGGGAAACACTCTCTTTACAAAAAAATACAAAAATTAGCTGGGCGTGGTGGCACGTGCCTGTAATTCCAGGTACTCAGGAGGCTGAGGCAGGAGACATTGTTTGAACCAGAGAGTTGGAAGTTGCAGTGGGCCGAGATCGCACCACTGCACTCCAACCCGGCCCATGAAGGACTTTTCTGAATCCATTAGTCCATGTTTGGTCCCATCCTCATACACTTCTGTAGCACTCTGACTTTACCTTCTGTGACATTCATCCCCACTCACAATCATTTATTTAATGTCTGCCTTCCTGACTAGACTGTACAGTCACAAAGACAGGGCCTTTTTGTGACTGCCTAACCTCCTTATCAGTGCCAGGCACTATGCCTAGCTCATAATAGACGAATGATAAACATTTGGCAAATGAACATAAAACTATGAAAGATTCTTATTTAATTCTAAAATAGAAATAATTAAAGACATAGCTCTATTGGAATAATTTCTAGATCGACAGAATTTCAAGAAGTCTATTAAAGTTTATGTTAAAGGTCAATTTTAATTTTTCCTGAGGACTGCTGTCCTATAGAAGCAACCGTCCCTAATCAGCAATATATATGATTAGGGACGGTTGCTTCTATAGGACAGCAGTCCTCAGTGTATAATAACCCTATATATGAAAGGCCTGGTTGGGGAAAAAAAAGTACAAAAATCGGAGTGCAAATAATTAGCTACATTTAGGGAAAATATCTGTAGGAAAGGTGGTATTTTCAGATACAGCACTTCCTTTATCTTGCAAAGATTGTCAGATAGTTGTATGCTGGAAGATAAATTTAATTGATGTAGAATTTAACATAATGCAACTTTAAATAAATCCTGCAAGCCTTTAGCTAATAGTTATTACAGACCATGTTATTTCATGAAAGTATTAAATATGGATCAGTTTTCAATTAATGGCAGCCAACCACAAAGCATCACATCTTGATTATAGGACATTCTCCCAGAAAATCAGAAATCGCTTTTCTAGTCTTTTTTGTATTACCATGGAAAGTAGCTGGAAAATAAATAATCTATTTTCTGCTTTTGGGTTACTTTAAAAAGTAGCTGTGGCAATAGCATAAGCGTTTTGAAGTGTCTAGGAATTGTCAGTGTCTAGGAAATTGCTGAAGGCCTGCATTCTACCAATTCCTCCGCTTAGGCACATGAACTACAGGTTATTACAGAAGGTGACTTGAGGTTTTTATCCTGTTTTTCTACAAGGTTGGGCTAAGTTTAGCAGAAATCAAAGACTTGGAGTTAATCCCTACAAAGCCCATTTAGTTCCATGCGTGGACGATTTCCTCCACACTAGAGTCTCAACGAGGCCAAGAATAGCTTATGCCAGTCAGAGTGACACTTCCCGTCCTCCCTCTAAAGTGGCCCTCACTACTGCCACCTTTAGCCGTGCCTCAGAATCCACAGTTACATTTTCCACACTACGGAGGCGAATAAGCCTAAGAGAACTACAATTCCCGTCATGCCTCACTGCAGGCGCCGCCGACGTGCCGTAGCAGTTAGTAATCCTTCCCGTCGCCTCCCTCCACTTCCTGGACTGCTAGGCTGGAGGCCTCGCGGGCGCGCGCACGCACCACCGACTCGCCAACGAGAGAAGGCATTGGGGCACCGACAGCGACGGGTTGCGTCCTGTGACGTGCGTTGTTCTCGCAGGCGCTAGCGCGCGTCTCCGGGTGCCGCTGACGGGCGTACGCCCTAGTGCGGAGCGGGAGGTGGGGGCCGAACCAACAGAGGCTGCCGGGGCCGCAGAACCAGACGAAGACGGAGGGCGGAGCCAGCTACTGGATCGCAGCGACTACACACCGAGCTAGCGCCTGGGCCCAAAGGGAGCGATGCTGTGGTTCCAGGGCGCCATTCCGGCCGCCATCGCGACGGCTAAGAGAAGCGGCGCGGTCTTCGTGGTGTTCGTGGCAGGTGAAGAACGCAGGGGCTAGAGAGGCGGCCGGGACACTCCTCCGGCCTACCTTCATCCTCTAGTATACCTCAGCCTCCAGCCAGCCCTCCCCGAGACGCGGGCGGCTCTCGGCTCTCACTACAGCCCCTACTACCCCGCTCCCCAGGGACGGCTGCGACTCCGCCACCAGATCCCCCACAGGGGCCATGCAGACCCTCCTTGCCCTGTTCCTTCAGGCCCCGGTCGCCCCCAGCCTTTCCTTCTAGCCCGAGAGGCCCGGGCTGCCGGCCCGTGAGTGTTAAGCGCCTTCCCCGGTCCGTTTGTGATACAGCGGGCCTGGCCCTACCGCTGCCTCTCCCGGCACCCGGGCCTGAGGCATGGTCTGGCCTGGTCCCCAAAGCGCCCCGAGCCCCGCCGAAATCTCCTGGTTCGGGGCGAGGGACTCGGCCAGCAGGCCCCAGCCGCCCAGCGCTGCTCGTCGCCCCGAGCCTCTCCCCTACGCAGCCAGATCTCCGCGACCGCTTCCTAACGCCCCTCTCTGTACCCGAGGACCCTCTTTGGAATGCTTGCATGTCCGTTTCGTTACTACTGTTTAGGTGGAGGTAGGAACGGGCCATTAGGCAAGCAGTTGGGTTGTAATTAGTTGTGGACTGTCAGGAAGAAAGCTGTGTCATAGATAAGCAACAAAGAAAAACCACTTGATGTTCACGGTTACATGGTGATAGTACGTTCCTGAAACGTAAACTTTTTTGCTTTATAGAGGCTTAATTTTTTTTAATGGCAGTATTGGCAGGAGATCTAGTGTGAAGTAATGTTACAAATTTTTTTCTCTTTTTTAAAATACATTAGTTTCAAAGAAATAGCTGTTCAGCGTTTGTTCTTCCCTTTGTTGTTTTCCTATGCTAAAATCTACACGATTCAGAGAACGTCTATTAACTCATTTGTTCTCTGTTGCTCTGGGCTATTTTGATCCATATTCTCCTGTTTTACTACTGAAATCTTGTAGATTTTTAGTAAACTCCCTGACTCTACGCTTCTGCTCATTCTCATTACATGGACCGAATCAGTGTTTGTGGCTGTTATTAATTTGGGGTGTATTTCTTCAACTATTTGTGTTTAATAACGGTTTATTTACAATTCACTCACGTCTTTTAATAGCTCTATAACTTTATGCACTGCAGTGAAGAACGAATTATTGAAATGTGAATGTCATTTAGCATTAAATTTGGAATTTATAATTGTTATGCTAAATTTTTAGCTCAGTGCTGTTTATTAGAAGAGCTTGAATAGATTCTGTTATGCTGTCTGGGGGTTATATTATACTTTACATAAATTAATTCTGTAATCCTGTAAGAAAAAAATGGATTGAAAATGAAAAGTAAATGACAATATGTTTATTCCATATAGTAGTAGGTTTTTGACATTTTAAATTGTTTTTCTCCTGCACTCTTAGTTGATCCTTGCAGTAAATAGAACAGGTTTGATTATCCCCATTTTATAGATGAGGAACTTAGGTCAACAGTCATAAAGTGACTTGCACTAGGGTCACAAAAAGGATTTATATGTCTTAACAGTCAGATTTTTTAGTAGATTCAAAAAACTGTCTTGCTTTTTGTTTGTTTCTTTTTTTTTTTTTTGAGGCGGAGTTTCGCTCTTGTTACCCAGGCTGGAGTGCAATGGCGCGATCTCGGCTCACCGCAACCTCCGCCTCCTGGGTTCAGGCAATTCTCCTGCCTCAGCCTCCTGAGTAGCTGGGATTAATTAGAGGCACGCGCCACCATGCCCAGCTAATTTTTTGTATCTTTAGTAGAGATGGGGTTTCACCATGTTGACCAGGATGGTCTCGATATCTTGACCTCGTGATCCACCCACCTTGGCCGCCCAAAGTGCTGGGATTACAGGCTTGAGCCACCGCGCCCGGCCGCTTTTTGTTTCTCAAGGAAAAAACTGAGTAGTTGTAAATTGGTGATTTAAATTGGTATAGAAATCAGAAATCTAGGATTATGGTAGTCATGTTTTTGAACAAATGTCCTAACATTCCTAGAAGGCACTCTTGAGGTAATCAGTTAATTTGAAAAAAGAAATGAGAGATTTTATTAACAAGTATTATTATTTGGAAACTAGTACAAATTATTGGAATAGTTAAATAAGTTACAGGTCTTGCTTTTGGAGGCTTTGTGTGTATATATACTTTCTTCAGTTTTTACTGGTGAGTATGTATTACATGTATTTAGAATATAATGACTCTTGAATGTTTACAGGAAGACTGTTAGAAATCTCATAAAGAAGTCTGTCTGTCCCTTGACCTGTTCCAGAATACAGTTAGCTTTTTTAGAGTTTTAGCCAGTTAATCCCCAAGATTAAGTAGGATTAGTGTCACTCTAGGCATATGTAGATACTGGACTCGTGAAACTGAAACACTTACAGATTGCTTAGTGCTTTCTTTATAACTTTGAAGCCCGAACTCGTGATTTTCTTAGGTCTGAGACCTCAGTAATACCAACTGAATGGAAAATTTGAAGAATACCTTTATAGCTGGAAGAAGTGATCTGAAGCGTACACTTCAGTTCATAGAACTATTCAAGTGAGATTCATTTTAGGCAAGTTGTCTTTAGTTGACATTTTCATGGATGAATTAAAGAAGAATGTAGAGTTGATGTTTGGAGACTGGAGAGATTACTACTACTTCAGCCAACGATATGATTTTCAAAATATTGTGGCTGTGTGAATTGAAAGAAGTGAAACAAAACGATTTTCATTTAATATTTGGGAAGGTAGAATAATCTGTCAAGGAGACTGAAGTAAAAGTATCTTTTCACTGGTTAGTGTTGCTAGGTAGGTAGGCTAAATTTTGTTAATGACAGACACCGTTTAAGGGTTTTTTTGGTGAATGTAGACCACAGAGCCTTTAGGTTTTGAGCAGTTTTTTATTTAAACATCAGAAACACTGGCTGTATGAGGGTCTGCAACTCTTTGCTTCTGAGTTTGTGTTGCTCTCTTTAAGTGCCTTTACTTAGGATACTGTTGATACAAAGGATACAGTGTTTTCTCCTAAAATCTTAGGCCCACCTATCTCCATAGTTGATAATTTGATTAAAAATAAGAAAGGAAAGATATGAGAGTTAGCAATTAATAACCCCACTCAGTAGTATTAAGAAAGTTGTCATTGAGCACTTGAGTATTCAGCTTCCACCACTGCTGAATCTAGGACAGACACTGCCAGTGGGGTTGAGACATTTGGGACCCTAATCATATGGTATAGTATAGGTGAGGGAGTGACATATCATCCTCAAAAGAAGCAAGATTTATACTTTCAGCTACCTACATGATATCCCTGTTTAGATCTCCCAGGATTTTCAAGCGTTAAAATGTATGTACTACCTAAACTTGGGTTTCTCTCCCCAGTGTTCTGCATCTAAGTGGCTCTACCATACATCTGTTTGGATAAACCATAACGGTGTGAGTCATCTTTGACTCTTAACTCATCAGTCTCATCGTGAGCTCCGGATTGTTCATGACATTCCCAATCACATAGGCCTTTCCCTACACACGTGTTCTTTCTGCGTGGTGAGCTCTTCTGGCTCTTGACATGGCTGAGCTCTTTCATCCTTTAGATTTTAGCTTAACTGTCACCTCAGAGAGAGCTTCTCTAACCATTATAAAGAGGTCTCTTATTTTCTCTTTTCTTTTTAATAGCATTTATTACTGTAATTATTTATAGTGTCTGTTTAAAAATTTTGTATACCATTAGCTTTTAAGCTGTTTGAAGGCAGACAATTTGGTTTATATTTAGTATATGGTTCGATGTCTAGCACAAAGTAAATGTGCAATAAAATGGTGGACATATAAAAGAATGAATGGAAAGGAGTTCTCACTCTTCACAGACTTCTCTGAGAATTGTTTGTAGTTAGAATGTTCCCATATGGTTATTTTTCTTTGACAGGTGAGTCATTTATTTGGAATATTATAACTGTCCTCATCTGATGGTTTCTGAAGTTGCATATAGAATGATCTCACTTGCAAATGGTAACTTCTCATTATTTTGCATCTACAACACCTGGGAGTCTGCTAATGGAGTATTCTTAATGGAACATTTGGTCTGTGGGCGCATTCTAGTCCTGTTCACCTTCCCATGGCCAAATTTCTTAAACTATTTCTGGTATTCCTGGATCTCATCTCACAAAATATATTCAAATATACAGTATTAGAGTCAATTATTATAGGCATGCCATCCCTTAGTATATTAGGCATTTAGCTATTCCACAACGTACTTACTGAGTGCCTATGATGTTCTTTTGTAGGAATTTTAGTCTTGTCGGTAAATAAAATGGAAACATCCCTTGCCCTCATGGAACTTTCATTCTAGCCAGGAAAGACAGATGCTGGTAAACATAATTAAAAATGCATAGTATATTGGAAGGTGATAATACAGAAAAGCAGAACAGGATAAGGGAGCTTTGGGACTGTCTCAAGAGTGTAATTTTAAAGTGAGTGATTAGGGAAGTTATAATTTTAAAGTGGGTGATTAAGTATCAGCTTTATTGAGCTGATATTTGAGCAAAGTTTTCAGGGAGTTATCTGGGGGAAGAACATTCCAGGCAGAGGAAACAACTAGTACAAAGACCTTATAGCTTATAGGCGTGTCTTTCATATTTGAGGAATAGAAGGAAAAGGAATAGCAAGAAAGGAAAAAGGAATGTGGTAGTTGGAGGCCTGATGTATGGAGCCTTGTGGGCCCCTGTAAGGACATTGGCTTTTACTTTGAGGAAAATGGGGAGTCGTTTTGTGATCTGAGCAGAGGATTGATGTAATCTTTCTTTTTAGAGAAAGTTGCTGTGTTAAGAATAGACTTAGCAGGAAGACCAATTAGGAGGCTGGTATTAGGCATCTAGGTGAAATGCGATAGCTTGAATCAGGGTAGTAGTAGTGGAAGTGGTAAGAAATAGTTATATTCTTGATATATTTTGGAGATGGAGTCAATTAAAAATTTTTGGCCTGAGAACTGAAAGGATGTAGTTACCATTAATGAATAATTGCCATGAGGAAGGCTAAGGGTGGATTAAATTGGAGCAGGGTATACCTGGGAAGAAAGCAGCTTTCAAGAGTCAGTTAATAATGATCTCACTTTTGTAAAATATAAATTGTGGCCTGAACACATTTAAAAAAATCTGTAAATTGAGGTTGCTCACCTTTGAGAAACCGCTTAACTCTGCTAATCTCAGAAATACTTTTCATTTACTTACTTGGGTAGGTTTATCTCTGCCCACTAACAAGTGGTTATGCCAAAGTTTAAATATTATGGGTCTAAACTTGAAATGATCTCTTAATAGGTATAACTTTTAAAATTTATTTTTCTTTTTTAAGTTTTTTAAGATGGAGTCTCACCCTGTCGCCCAGGCTGGAGTGCAGTGGCGTGATCTCAGCTCACTGCAACCTCTGCTCCCTGAGATCAGGCGATTCTCTTGCCTCAGACTCCTGAATAGCTGGTACTCCAGGAGTGCGCCATTACACTTGGCTAATTTTTGTATTTTTAGCAGAGACGAGGTTTCACCGTGTTGGCAAGGCTGGTCTCAAACTAATTTATTTTTCATTTTAAATTTATTAATATTATTTAGAGACAGAGTCATGCTTTGTCATCAGGACTGGAGTACAGTGCCATAATCGTAGCTCATTGCAGCACTGAACTCCTGAGCTCAAGTGATCCTCCTCCTTCAGCCTCCTGAGTAGCTGGGGCTATAGGCACATGCCACTACACCTGGCTAATTTTTTTTTTTTTAGTTTTTTGTAGAGACAGGGTCTCGCTTTGTTCAAGATCTCGCTGATCTTGAACTCCTGGCTTCAAGCCATCCAAAGTGTTGGGATTACAGGCATGAGCCACTGCACCCAGCCGATAGGTATAAGTTTTAAAACTTTTTTTTTTTTTTTTTTAGACGGAGTTTCGCTCTTGTTTACCCAGGCTGGAGTTCAATGGTGCAATCTCGGCTCACCGCAACCTCCACCTCCTGGGTTCAGGCAATTGTCCTGCCTCAGTCTCCTGAGTAGCTAGGATTACAGGCATGTGCCACCATGCCCAGCTAATTTTTTGTATTTTAAATAGAGATGGGGTTTCACCATGTTGACTAGGAT